CCATCGGCACCGTTGATAAAATTAAATTCAATGGCTAAGATTGATCGCTTGCTGCATGAACACATAATTATTCTGTCTCTGCACATCAACTAAGACCGTGTGTATTACCAAGTTGCCATGCTCTGAGCTCAGACATATTTTAATTAAAAGTTTAGCTTTTATAATTGTGATTGCAAAGGAAATAGGTGGAAATGGAATGACATAACACAACATAAATATAATTATCTGAAATTGAGATGTAGAGTTTGCCTAAAGTTGTTTTCTGTTTCAGAAATACAGATTTTTTTATTCTTAATGTGTTTTTGCATAAATACATAAACAAAAAAAGTTACTTTAAAATGTCAAATAGACCAGAATCTAAAAAATGGACTTGATTTTTATGAACATGGTAATAAGTCCAACATTGGGTTTCTCGCTTGGCTATAGCAACGTAATGATGAGATTAGTTGATAACAGTATAATTAGGTAGCAGATGATCAAATTTTGAATACCTTCAAGCTACCGACGGTTATTATTAGGCAACCAAGTCCCTCGAGTGTTGTTAGCTTGACTAATCATGATTAAGCACATGACTATCACTTTTGTTTTACTCCTCGTGAAAACCGGATGAGTCCAATCATAAGAACCATTCATTATAGAAAAAACAAAGTAATATAACGTGGATTGTTTATGATAATCAATGACAAATTGACAGTACGTCTTCTCTGTTTAAACAATTGTTGTTCAACTTCAGATCATTTGTTTAATGTTCCCTAGTCCATGTTTCTACAGCTGGGGATGTGTGAAGTTGCTTTTGTTTTCTTTCCAAATATGATAAAACGACTGTATGACATGCACATATGACATATGTGTGTACATGGTCACGAAAAAAAGATAAGGGGCAAAGTAAGTGGTGTCACGAGCGATACAACGAGCTTTAGGTCTTCTTAAAATATGATCATCTTAAAATCAAACCAACATTTACTTCTCCTTTTCATATTAGGTTCTACCATTATCTGTTGATAGGATGCATATCGTCTGAGCTTACATTAAAACATCAAGTGGATTTTTTTTTATGGATTATTTTGTTCCAAAAAAAGAAGAAATCTGAAACTCAATCTTATTAGTGATAAATATATAAAAACGCAAAACCAACATGTTAAAACATAATTAGTTACTAAAAACTGAAAAATGTAATTAGTTACTTTTACACTAACATGAAGAGTAGCCGACACCATTTTCATAGAGAGACAAGAGAAAAACGCAACCGAACAAGACATAATATAACATAGATAATAGGGGTGGGCGTTCAATTATTTCTTCGAGTTCAAATTGGATATTTCAACTATTTTGGTATAAATATATAGAATCCATTTGGATATTTTTATACTTCAGATTGAGTTCAGATATTTGTAATTCAGGTTTGAGTGATTTGGGTCGGGTTTGATTATTTAAAGTTACGTAAAAAAAGAATCAAATAGTAATGTATATTTTGTAAGATAAAACAATATATTATTAAGCAAACAACAACTAAATAGTCTTTTAACCAAAGAGCAAACATCAAGTACTCAGAGATGAAGAGCAATACTTCACCAAAAAAAATCTAAGAAAAAAGTTCCAATAAAATTGAGAGGCGTGAAGAAATTAAAGACGAAACCATTAAGTCTACAATGGAGCTGAGACTAGATTTAACGTGAATTTTGATGAGGAAATGAATGAGTTTAAACTCTTGAGGAGTTAGAGTTACTATATATATTTTTAGATATTTCTGGTATCCATTTGGCGATCAAGTATTACCTGATTAAGTTCGGATATTTAATCTCATCTAACTTAATATCTATTTGGTACTTTCATATATATCAGAGGGCTCGAATTCAGATTTTTCGAATCAGGTTCGGTTTTGGATATCATGTAAAATATCTTGACCAAATGGATAACGAAATTTGTAGTGTAAAAGTTTGAAATCCTAAAAGTTCCATGTCTCCAAATTCTATATATATATATATTGTACTATAAGTTTGTTTAATAAAGTTATCAAAACATTATCTATGAATCTACTCAAAACATGTCCGCTCCACTAGTTTGGATGTTTTTTATTTCTCTTTTGAGTATAGACATAGAAAAAACTTAAAATTGTTTAACAGAAAGATCCAATAGTTTCTTTAATCCTTAAGGAGCTCAACATTATCACCCAAATTTTGAAGATAGTTATGTGAAAAGATGTAGTGATCCCTTCTCTTCAGTTCCTCGTACAAAATGTTATTGTTTGTTCCATACGATTTCGACTTTTTATTCCCTCATAAAGTGTTTGAAATTCTCATAAAGTGTTTATGTAATCAATAAGGAACAATTAATATTATTACAAGCCCTTTATGTGAAAAGATGTAGTGATCCCTTCTCTTCAGTTCCTCCTAAATGATTACTATCATATATTTTTAAATAAAAATCATAAAATTTTTAATCATTAAGGAGCAATTAATATTATTACATTATTGTAAAATTAGATTTACTAATAAAAAATTAAAAAATATGTAATATTATTAAATTCACCAAGCATAAAAATATTTTTTATATTTTAAAATATAGTTAAACTTGTATTACTAACTAATACAAATTTTATTAAATGAATAGATAGTTTTATTATGTGATTTTCCTAACTAATATTTTTCTTTAATATTTATATAAATAAATACATAAAAAGTATAATTTGGTTAACGTGAAATATAAATCTAAATAAATTTTATAAACATAAAATTACAAGAATTTAACAAACATAATAGTTAAATGTCATAAAATAATTACTTATCAATTTAAAATATAAAAAATATTTAAACTTAAAACATTAAATAATATATAAGATTATTTTTTCATATAATACTTGGTGTTATATATGGTTGGTGATCACAAAAAAGAATTGACACGAAAATATCAATCCATGTCCTTAATATACATACATGTTTATCAAAATTGTATTTGGAGTTATTTTGTTTCGATTATCAAAATTCCACAAGATCAAAGTAGCAACTATATCATAAATTTTACCGACTAGGTGAACTTAGTCTCGGTGAATAATAATTCATTTATTTATGGTATGCCTAACTAAATAATAAGAGAATAAATTTATTGGTGAAGGTCAATAAATTGATTTTGTTCAGTACCAAATGTGAAACGTATTGAAATACATTTAAACGCGTGTCAGAATTTTATGGACACAGTGCCAGAGTTCATTACACACTTTAATGATTCTATCTGTATATCGAACTAATTAATTTGGGTATTTATTACTGGTTAAAACCTTCTTACTAAACTTGATTATGCAACTTAATAAGTCTATAAAACTCAAAAGACTTATGAAATCTAGTTCCGTACAAAAAATGTCGTTAGCTAGATGGCTCGGCCCATTAACCCACTACACTGTATTGACTCTACAAAGCAATGACAAGTTTTAATTTGAAATGAACTTTGAAATCTGACATTTTTTCCAGTTTTTATCATATCACATTCATGCAAGGGCCGGGCCAAACATTCAAAAATTTGTTCAGGGCCCTAGGCCTACACAAAAAATATTTCAATAATAAAAATTTGTAATGTAAAAAATTGAAAAATGGTCCATGTGTCCTAAGTAGTTGCTTCTGTTGCCTATCATTTGAGTCGGACCTGCATATAATACTCTAATTTGATAAATAAACCTCTTTTATCTCTTCATATTTCTTTCATCTTTTTGTAAACACTCTGATTTGATCCTCTTTCTCTTGTTCCGATGTTTTTTTTAAACTAGAACCATCTTTGTTCTGTATTTGTTTATCCTTTGACAGATATGTGCACTTTCATCTTGTTTTATACGAATATAGTGACAGTTTTGTCCACATGAGTTCATTATCTCCATGTGGACCCAGGGACGAACCCAAAAAAAAAAGCTTTTTGTGAAGTCAAAATTAATATTAAAATATCATAGAGGGAATTGAACTCGGATTTGGAGGTTCATTCAAACTGTTTTAACCAAATTGCCATAGTTTACTCATGAATATGGATTACAAAATCTTAATTATATTATTTTTGTGATGTCAGATGACTTCACTATTCAATACGTGGGTTCGCCCCGGTGTGGACCGGCTTGTCTTTGTATGTCCTTAGATGAGTTGCTTAGGTTTTTAGCTGGTTGGTTTGGATTGTGGTCACTCGGATCCTCTGGTTCCTCTCCCTAGAACCTTTTGCAAGTACTTTCTAAATAAATCATCAAAAACTGATATAATAGTGCAGTATATGAAAAACATATATGTAATCTGGATTTATCGCATAATTTTTAACGATGATTGATTAACTATTTTTCTTTCTTTTTAGGGGGGACATCAAATGATTATTTGTTTTTATAGTTTAACTGTACATCTAATCTCGATTCAGAAAATAATTCAATACAATAGCAGAAATAATAATTTATTATTTGTCTTAGCAAGTTGTTTTTCTTTTTTAACAAGTCTTAGCAAGTTCTTATGTTAACTCATTACATTTTTCTTCAGTTAGTTTTGAAAATCAAATTATTATTATTGTTTTCTCTTCTCTTTTTTCTAAAGCAAAGTTACGTGTCGTATTATTGGAACTGTGAGATCAAATGGTGGACATATAATATTTTTTTTTCCGAATCTAGGTGGCGGAATTCACAGTCGTAAACCTTTTACCACTTGAGCTAAAAACCCAGTTAGATAATAGAAACACAATAATGTGTCTGCTTGTTTAGTTAGTTAAAGCGATTAGAAGATGGTGTAGATTTGATTACCAAAAAAAAGATGGTGTAGGATTTTCATTTCATTATTATGTACCGCAACACTTACACAAGTTGTTGCATGATGATCATGTATACTCAAGTTAGATTAATAAAATTCGATGTTATAAATTAAAAAAAAACAGGGCTACGTGTCGACACGACGCGAGAAAGAGTAAGAGCCCACACGTCACAAACTTGCTTTAGGCCGCCCTGTTCTCTCCATAGACGTTTAAATAAAGCCCACACGACTTTTTTTCTCAATTTCAAAAAAAAAAACCGGAGAGAGAGGCCGTTGCATCTTTCCGCCGAGACGACGACGGCGACCGATCACCACCTTCTTTTATCCCCCGGTGAGAGTCTCCTCCTTTTGACTTTCCGATTCCGTAAATGTTCAAATCACGCTAATCTATTGTATCAATCAATTGCGTGAGAATCTGATCTTAGTCGATACTTATATATTAGACTTCTAAGGTTAATACACTTCTCGCAGTTAATCTAGGGTTTACATTGAGTCTATTAGGAAACACACGTTGCCCTAATTTTGAAAATTACTGCTTCCTTTGGCCTTTCCTCACCAGATCGTTGCAAAGATGGCTCACACGAGGAACATTTATGGTAAGACCTTTTTAAAAACTTTGATGTTTACTGTAAACGGAACAAAGTAAGATATTCTCTGAATGTTTACAGATAACGATGGATCAGAAGACACTGTGTATCGTTACCTCTGTCCTGCGAGAAAAGCAGGGAGCATTATCGGTAAAGGAGGCGAAATCGCTAAGCAGATAAGGTCTGAGACGAAAGCAAACATGAGGATCAACGAGGTTTTACCTGGTTGCGAGGAGCGTGTTGTGATTATATACTCAACTAGTGATGAGACTAATGTTGTTGGAGATGATGATGAGGAGTTTGTTTGTCCTGCTTTCGATGCGCTTCTCAAGGTTCATGATATGGTTGTTGTGGGTGAAGAAGTGGATAGTGATGGTTATGGTGATGAGAAGAAGCATACGGTTGCTGCGAGGTTGCTTGTGCCTTCTGATCAGATTGGTTGTCTTATTGGGAAAGGTGGACAGGTTATTCAGAAGCTGCGTGAGGAGACTAATGCTCAGATTCGTGTTATTAATGATAATTTGCCTGTTTGTGCTTTGGCTTTGAGCAACGATGAGCTTCTTCAGGTAAACGCAGCAAGTTGCGTTCGTGTGGTTGTGTTGTGCTTTAGCTTATGAATGTTTTATTGGCTGACTTATTCAGATAATTGGAGAGCCCTTAGCTGTTAGAGAAGCTCTTTATCAAGTTGCATCTTTGCTTTATGATAATCCGTCGCGGTTTCAGTACTACTTTCTGTCTTCTTCAAGTGGCCTGCAGCAATCCGGTGGAATGCTGATGAGTCCTCCATTAACGAATTCTCACAAAAACTACTCTGCGCCGTCGAGAGATGTTGCTGATGCAAGAGAGTTTTCTATCTGCTTCATCTGCCCAGCGGAAAATGTTGGAGGTGTAATAGGTAAAGGCGGCAGTTTCATAAATCAGATTAGGCAAGAATCTGGTGCAGTCGTTAAAGTCAATACCTCTGAAACTGATGGAGATGATGAGTGTATCATCTTCATATCATCAAAGGAGGTAACGCAAACCTTTTATACTTACTAGAATCTGATTATCATTATATTTGGAAGATGATGTTTTATTTTGAACCGTATGGATGTATACTACAGTTCTTTGAGGATCAGTCTCCAACGGTGAATGCAGCATTGCGCTTACAAACGCGATGCAGTGAGAAAGTAGGGAAAGATTCAACAGATTCTGCCATCTCCACTCGTGTTCTTGTTCCTAGTTCCCGAGTAGGGTGTCTCATTGGGAAAGGTGGAGCTATTATATCCGAGATGAGAAGTGTCACAAAAGCTAATATCCGCATTGTTCAAGGCGAAGATGTACCGCAAATTGCTCGTGAGGATGAGGAGATGGTCCAGGTAAAATAGATTCTTGAGTCCCTCTATCGTCTAATGCTTCTTATCAGTTTTGAGTGTGTTTTAGAGAGACTTAAACGATGTTTCTTTTTTTTTTCTTGTGGTTTAGATAACAGGAAGTCTTGATGCAGCAATCAAGGCACTTACGCAAGTGATGTTGCGATTAAGAGCAAATGTGTTCGACATGGATCGTGGGCTTGTCTTGCTTCCAACGTTCTTTCCTTATATATCTCAAGCGTCAGAGACTTCGAGCAAGCCTAAGCAGAGGAAACGCGAGAACAATTCTCATGGTTCCGTGGAAATTGGTAGAAATGAAGACTATGGCAACCAGATGGTATGATTTACAAGATCCTTTACCAAAATTACACTTACATATTGCATACTAGATATATTTTTGATGGTGTTCCTTTTTTTTGCAGAACTCAAATTCCCATAGAAGAAACCATGTTTACTGATCACTGAACCACTTCTAAAGGTTTATTGTTTTTATGTTTTAGACACTTAGTTCTGGGTTGTTTTGTAAACCACTTGGCGTTTTTTGGGATCCAAGGAAAAAGAAGGTTTGTGTTTTTTTTGAGTGTCGAGACTTTATAAATGCAGGAAGTTCTTGAAAGACTCATGCAAAGTTAAGTTTAAACATTCAGAATCCATAAGTGGAAAAGGATTTTTTTCTTATCTTATTCGTACCCGGTATAAATTGTTTTCTCTTAGTTTCAAAATGGTATCTAAAAATAATTATACTGGTCGTAATCCAATAATATTTAATTTTGATTTTAGGTGACAGATTATAAACGAATTTTCGAATATTTTCTAATTAAACTATAAAATGCAAACTTAATGTTTTCTTAATAATCTGAAATTCTCAAAATCAAAATAAGCCAAATATATTTAAACTAAATAAATCCAATTAAAATTCCAATTGTTTAAAACACAACATATGAATGAATAAACCAGACAAGGTTTTTTTTGTCTCGTCTCTGCTAATCTAATTGTTAGATGTTTAATGTCCGAGAATTCTTATGTTGATGACTAAATTCCATTCTCTCTGTTATTTTTCATTTTATACATTATTTGCAATGTTTTTTTATGTTTACATTATAGTCTTCCGTTTGGGGTGTTCAAAAAGTCTTCCGTTGAAGCTAGAAAATATTAGTTACCATCTACTGCCTTACCATACTGAAGAACAAAAAATACACATGTGATGAAGAGTATCACAAATCGACCAATAATAATAAGAAGGTGATGATATAAACTTATAAACACGTTGACGTTACCAATGAAATACGTCCGTCACATAAGTAGGTCACAGCCACTAACGTTTACAGTCATCGTGTATTTAAATTTCTTTCCACACTCTCCTCTTCTTCCTCTTAATCAATTTTTATTCATTTTTAAACAGATCTGGTGGAATTTTTTTTTATCCCTTGACCCCACACCACTGGATCTCTCTCTCTCTCTCTCTCTCTCTCTCTCTCTCTCTCTCTCTCTCTCTCTCTCTCTGTCTCTATACATTAATAAGTTTTAGAGAGTAAAACGAACACACAGGAGGATCAGTCATGAAGAATTGTGAGCGCATCGCTAATCTCGCTCTCGCAGGTTCTCCTTTCCTTCTCACTCATTTCAATTTCAATCGATTTACATTGACGTGATTGCCTTGTTTGTTGATTTCCTTCTGATTTTTAAGGATGTACGTATCGAAAAGTTTGTAGCTTTCGGTTTAGTTTCCTCGAATTTCATTTGCTTCAGTTATGTTTTAGGGAGTTACATTAGCTGATTCAGATCATCAAACAGGTTGCTCTAGGGATTATAATTGGTGGGTGTGATTGATTGTTTATTAAAGGTTTGAGCTTTTTTTTTTTTTTTTACAGGATTGACATTGGCGCCACTTGTTGTGAGGGTGAACCCGAACTTGAACGTTGTTCTTACAGCATGTCTCTCAGTTTATGTGGGTTGCTTTCGTTCCGTCAAGGATTCTCCTCCAACTGTAAGAAAGACGCTAACCAGAGATTTGTCTTTTTTTATCAGTCTCTCAATGAAACAATTTGATCTAAATTGTTTTGTTTGGAATGATGTAGGAGACGATGTCGAAAGAACATGCCATGCGTTTCCCTTTAGTTGGGAGTGCTATGCTTCTTTCACTTTTCTTATTGTTCAAGTTTCTCTCCAAGGACTTGGTCAATGCTGTCCTCACTGCTTACTTCTTTGTTCTTGGGATCGTCGCTCTTTCGTATGTCTCGTCTAAATCTGTTGTTTGAGTATCTGTGGTCAAGTTATGTCTTTTCCTTTTCCTAATGCACAATTTTGTTTGTTTGCAGGGCGACATTGTTACCTGCCATCAGCAGATTTCTTCCAAAACCTTGGAATGACAATCTTATCGTCTGGCGTTTTCCTTACTTCAAATGTATATGTAACTTTAAATTCAGCCTTTTCTCTCGTTATATTTGGATGTGGTTTGTTAACGTAATGACTTGTGTTTTTTCTTCTTGAAACAGCTTTGGAGGTAGAGTTCACAAAGTCCCAAGTCATTGCAGGAATCCCTGGAACCTTCTTCTGCGCGTGGTATGCTTGGAAGAAACATTGGCTGGCTAACAATATCCTTGGCCTTTCCTTCTGCATTCAGGTTTATATTATGAGGAATATAATATAAGAATAGTACAAATAGACTATGTTGCTTCATCATCAGAATGTATTAGTGTTGTTAGGTGTGTCTGTTTCCTAACTAACGATGTGGCTAATTCAGGGAATTGAGATGCTCTCTCTTGGATCATTCAAGACTGGTGCCATCCTTTTGGTAAGACACGATTATATTCCTCATATCTGAACTTCATCTTATAAATGATGACGTTCTTCAAAATCAATTGAAATGTTTAGCAAACAGAAGACACAATTTTGAACATGTCTTACTAATATGGTGTTTTGTTTCATATCTGACTGGCAGGTAGGACTGTTCTTCTATGATATTTTCTGGGTTTTCTTTACTCCTGTGATGGTTAGTGTTGCCAAATCCTTTGATGCTCCAATAAAGGTTAGTCAAATTGTCTCAAAAATGTCCATATAGCAAAATTAGTTCCATTTGTTCTTAGTATTTTTGTCAGTAATCTCAGTGCTGAAATATCTTTTCAGCTTTTGTTCCCTACGGGCGATGCTCTAAGACCCTACTCTATGCTTGGGCTTGGTGATATTGTCATCCCGGGTACAAATGCATAATGCTGAACTCAATGTTCTTGAACCATGTTGTTGAACCATATTGTATGTGTATGAGACAGTAGTTTTTGTTTTGCTTTAGGTATTTTTGTTGCATTGGCTCTAAGGTTTGATGTATCAAGACGCAGTAAACCACAATACTTCACAAGTGCATTTGCGGGATACGTTGCTGGAGTTGTCCTCACAATTGTAGTCATGAACTGGTTTCAAGCAGCACAGGTCAGTTTATTTGTGTGTTTTTAATTGTGATCCATTTTTGCAACTATTTTTTTGAGGATATTATCTGATGGGTTTTGGATTGTGTGTTTGTGATTGTTTCAGCCTGCTTTGTTGTACATTGTCCCAGCCGTCATTGGGTTCTTGGCTTCTCACTGCATCTGGAACGGTGACATCAAACCGGTTTGTTTTCTCTTCCTTTTATGTGCTTCAGTTGTTTCAAAAGCAACCTTTAGCATTTTCATTTACCATGTGTATGGTTGTTGTGAGCTAATTGTAAACGGTGATGCAAATACAATTGCAAGTTAGTGAAATGGTTATTGTCGTTTTCTTTTTTGGTATACAGTTGATGGCTTTTGATGAATCGAAGACTACCGAGGGAGAGGTTGATAAAGCCCATGAAGAATGAAGACAATGGAGAATGAAGGGTAGAGGAGTAACATTTATACACATAAAATGTGTGTGTTTATATGGTATGGAACAAAAGAGCAGGAAGACATCTTTTTGTTTCCACTGATCATCAGTCCCTTCAAAATAGTTCTCACCCTTCTTTTTTGTTTTTAGATTTTCAAACATTTTTTGGCAGACTTTATTACAGGCTTACAGCAGATTTCCTTTTACCTTTGAAGATACGTCTACTAAGTTTCACTTTACTTCGTGGTGGTGATGCTTAGCATGTAGTTTATTCATGACTTCATCACATGGGTCCATCTTTTTGTTCTATGGTTTTAAACCACTTGTGAATGCAACTTACATTATGCTGGTTCAAAGCATGATGGTACTAAGTCGTTGAAACTTGAAAGCATGATTGTGCTAACTCTATATAAGATGGTTTTCAAAGTTATTAGCGAGGAGAACTGAATTAGGTCATTCCTGGTGCTGCTTATCCAAATCAGTGTGCAACTATCAGAAGTCGCTTTGTTTTGAATTTCTTACATTAGGAAGCATTTTATATTTTTTTCAGTTACCTTCAAAAGCATATTGCACTTACAAGGCGCTTTCTAGTAGGACATAGAGAAAATATATGAATTTACCCTTCATGAGATGAATATAGGTTTTGATTTAGGAAAGATAGTGTGTTTCCAAAAAGTAATTTTTACCTTTTATTATATTAAAGATATATACATATATAACAAATTTGTTGATATAATATATTATGTTTTTTTTATTTTCTATATAATTTGATATCCACTTTAATATGTTTTTCTTTTATATTTTAAAATCCATACATATATATGTATTTAATGATCTTAGAATGTGGATGTGAATGCTAATATTACACTTATTCAAAGAATAATGATTTATGTTTGTTTCTATAAAAGTTAAACTGGTGTCCACATAGAAATTACATAACCGTTTTATTAATATATTACATAGCGCTATTGTCATATAGGTTGAGTGAATGAGCACAAACATCATACACACATACACAATAGAGTATGATTGAGGAGACGCAAACACTAAGTGATTGTCCACAAGGGAGGTGTGGACAATATTTATGTAGACATGGTCTATATGGATAAAGTAAATCGATCTATTTTCAGGTTTTGGAGAAACAAATCATTTATGATTAAATCATAAACAACACAATCATCCACTATTTTTCCATCCACGATTCGTCTATCCACAACATGTGTCCACAAAGATCTCATCGAGTTCATATAAAACATTTTGACATTTTAATCGAATATAGACACTAGTTTAGATTCTATATCCAGAAATCTGAATTAACATTCTTTAAATACATGTACACGTTAGCATCCACATCCACACAACAATCATTGGATGCATATACATGTATAAATTTTTGAAATACAACAAAAATAGATACAAATGTGGATATCAAATTATATAGAATAAAAAACATATTTTATCAAAAAATTGTTATAGACATATATTTAATTTGAAAGTAAACAAAAATAAAACATTAAAGGATAAACTAAATAATAATAACAATTAGATTAAGATCCGCACTTTGCATGGAATGATAATTTGTATATACAAATTATTTTCTATATTATTATTTATCTTGTGTTTTTGACATTATTAACTGATGAATATATATATATATATATATATATATATATATATTGAATAATTGAGAAATTAGTAACTATTATGTATATAATTAAATTAATGGAAACATAGATAAAAAATGCACTTGTTTATTTATAATCACTTATATAAAAGTAAATTTAAATAATAAATGGTATTAACATAGATATATAATCATAAAAATATTTTTTCTGAGATGATTGTAAGTACTCAAAAGCCATGGAAACATGATTCTCTACAAGATAGATTATGTTTGTTTTTTTTTTTTTTAACTTTAGAAAAAAACACTCAACTTCAGTTACAATCATTGTACAAAGGTTTTTTGGCTGAATAAATTTAACATTCATTCATTCAAAAAAAAATACTATGATAATTAGTTATACATACTAGAAATTATATCTTATATTATGAGATGTGACTCATGTGAGTGTTTTTAAGGCCCCTGTTTTATTGCATTGAATTTCAATGAGATTCTTTTTAATCCACGATTACAAGAAGTGTTTGATTCCAAATCCAAATTGTCTTATGATGATTTGGTTATTAATATAGAAGGTTTAAATCCAAATTTACACTCATTAAATAAAAGGATATAACAAAAATAAAATATATAATATATGATTTGGCAATATAGATATTAAACTCAGATAAGTTCTAATTAAGTGTTTTTCCCGAGCGGATTTAATAATTTTACAAATATTTAACAATAAATTAAACAAAAATTTCTATATGTATATAAAAATTTTCATAATAACATAAAATAAATTTGAAAACACTTGTGTATAATTACATTATATATATATATATATATATATTTATCTTTACAAAATTGGTGTAAAATTATTTTTTGGATAGTACAGTGAAAAAATCTTTTATATAATAATTATTATTAAATAGCTAAAATTCAAATTTAATTGATGGTTGATTATATTTTAACTAATTGATTCATTAAGGTTAACTAGGTATTTTGTCTGTAAATGAGGGCATAATGATGTTATAGTTACTTATTAACACATATATTATAATTTTAAAGTTACCATGATAAGTTTAAAGGGAACATCAAGACAAAATAGTAACTTCTGTTATTTTCGAGAAGTTTATCTCAAAAGGTAAAAAAATTTTTTTATACTATATGTTAATCACCAATAGTGTAGTTACTTAGAACAAAAGAATCCCTCAAAATAACATAAATCGAAAGTTACCAAGAGAACGTGTATCAACAAACAAAAGCAGGAAGCTTCGTCCCCCAAAAATAAATTACGAAAATAAGTTACTACCACTAAATTGTATTAATGCAATTCAATAATAAAATAAAAAATACCATACTTAAAACAATATCAACCAACACTAATTCAATTATAACGATATTTGAATTTTTTCTGTGTATTCAAAATTTTCAACACCTTTAATTTAATATCGTAGTAATCTCTAACCGGACAAATATTCCCAATAAGAAAAAGAAAGCGGAATTTATTTTTACAAAGATATCATTTGCAAGTTATTATAAATGCGTGTATAAGTTTTGTGTACATTGATCAAATTTATGATGACAATATATATACTACAGAAAATCGGTTATTATGGTATAATAAAATACATACTAACAGTGTTAGTATATATATATAATAGTGTTATCATAAGGTGCAGATCTTTGCCTTGTTGAAGTATATGTTAGATGTTTTGTTTGTATATGCAGCATAAAAGTTTTATAAATATTTTATAATAAAATATAAACTATTTTTAGGTAGTGATAAATATCAAATCAATGAAATCTATTTTTAGTTTATGATTCTATATTAACAAATCTAGTTATTTATTAAATATAACATATACTTTAACCATTCTAACTTTTAATATGAGGGATTAGTAATGAAAAATCACTTTGCATATATTAGTATAGATCTCTAAGCCATTTGTTAGATGAAAATTCATTCAACAAAGAAAATAATCTAAAAATTAATTATCGCACTAATGCTAATATATTAGCAGATTACTTTTAAAGTATTGAATATAACATTTAAACAAAGAAAAAATAATACATTGTATTCATTTACAATGTCAATAAAAAAATATTTTATTTTAACTTATATAATGTACCTTTGTATTATGATTTATTACCTACGTGGCTATCTACAAAATCTAATTTATATTTTATTTTATAGAAACTCTTACTAAGATAAAAATAAATCTTCATATCTTATTGATATTTTTCCAAATAAATCTTTAAAAGATATAGTTCCCAAATAAAAAAGATATTGTTTGTAAACATTAGTTGTATTCTCTAAATTGCTTATTGTATTTGTGATTATCTTCAAAAGTAATTAAAAATAATGTTTATTTATCATTATTAAATAATACTATTAATTTTCAATAGATTTAGTGCATTTGTCACCCAGATATTGTTGTTTTACTTATTATAGTTTCCTTTTTCTTATTGTTTAGGGAAACAAGAAGATTTTATTTTACATATTTTCCAATTCACTGGCCCTCTTCAAGATTATAAATAGAGACCAATATGTTGTCATCATATCACAAGATCCCTTCTCCAACAAAAACCATAACCTAAAACTCTTCTCCAACAAAAAAACCCTAGAAACAAAAGATGTCTACCTCGAACAAGAAGATCACCTTGACCAGCTCCGATGGCGCGAATTTTGAGATTGAGGAAGCAGTGGCACTTGAGTTCGGGATTGTAGCAAACATGATCGAAGACGACTGCGTCAATGAAGCGATCCCATTAGCAAACGTAACTGGGAAGATCCTAGGCCTAGCGATTGAGTATTGCAAGACGCACGTGGAAGCTGGTGCGTCCGAAGACAAAGAGGAGGCTGCGGAAAAACTCAAGAAGTGGGACGAAGATTTTGTGGCAGACTGTGATAATGAGATGCTCTTCGAACTCATCCTTGCTGCTAACTATCTCAACTGCAAAGGCCTTCTCGAAATCACATGCCAAAGGGTCGCAGATAACATCAAAAACAAGACAGTAGAGGAGGTTCGCACGCTTTTCAACATCGAGAATGATTTTACAGAAGAAGAAGAAGCAGAAGTTCGCAATGATAACGAATGGGCTTTTGCGGATTAGTCTTAAAAATTGTTTATGACTTGTTGGTGTGTCTCTTTTCGACTTCGTGCATGATTTTTATTTTTATTGTCTTCAAGTGTGCGTGTGATTGATATATCTTCTCTATTAAAAGAGAAGTACCAAATTTATCTACTATTTAGAAGTCATATTGGACCATGTTATTAATTACTAAATTGACATATTTTATTGTTACATTAACCAGTCAAATATATATGATTTTCACAATATCTTAATAACTAATAAGAATATTAATAATAAATAAATTTAAATATAACAAAATCTATTGAAAAAATCTAACAAAATCTTACCAAATATTTTAAATATTTTTTTAATAAAATAAGTATTTCTTTATTTCGTTATTAGATATGATTATAATTAAAACTAAAATATAAATCATATATTAAAAAAATTAGTTATATATTTATAAAATAAAAATATATCCGCACGGATGTGCGGGTGAAACTCTAGTTTGCTTATTAAAAGAGCTTTTGTTCTTCTTTTTAAGTTTATATAAATTATAATAGTTGTTAAAAAAAAAAAAAAGCTTTTGTTCCGTCTACTGTCGTGGTTATGTTGTCATCGTATTCGTTACTCATACCGAAAAGAAATCCAGCGAATCTGAAATATTTAGCCGACTACTGAACTTGAAATTTTCATGTTTATGTTCAACTAGATATGGACCCGTGCGTTGCACGAGTTTTGATTAATGTTTTATAAGTTTAATAAAAAAAAAGATAAAAATAAGAAACTTTTTTTTATCGAAATTGAATGTTTTTATATATGGTGTGTCAAATTCATTTTAGGAATCAAAATTCGGTTTTTTACATAAGTTTTGGTTAAACTTCAATTCAATAATCATGGCACATATACGTAGAGCTAGAGAAATAAGCGAGACCCGAAAGTTCAAATTAAACGCAATCTAAAGAAATGTAAATTAGAGTGAAATACAAAGAATTTGAAAGGTGAATCAAACCAATCAAGTATATGATAATGGAATATACTTTATTAAACTCTTAGTTTTGCCTTTATTAATTTGCTTTTATTCTTCTTACTCAAACATATTATGAAGTTTCAATTGTAATTTAGTAATGCTTGTGTTGTCATTGTAAGGTCTCGATTTTTCTGTGCTTTTATCATTTATATACTTTGGTAATAGAATTTCTCTATTTTAGAACAAAATTTATAGATGAATCTATAAGTGAATTGCAAATAATCTTAGTTGTATAGGTAATAGAAAACATTATATATCAGCATTTTATCATCTAATTTAGAGGTAATAAAACTATTAATACCTTATGAAATTTTATCCTGTTTTGATNTTTCTGTGCTTTTATCATTTATATACTTTGGTAATAGAATTTCTCTATTTTAGAACAAAATTTATAGATGAATCTATAAGTGAATTGCAAATAATCTTAGTTGTATAGGTAATAGAAAACATTATATATCAGCATTTTATCATCTAATTTAGAGGTAATAAAACTATTAATACCTTATGAAATTTTATCCTGTTTTGATCCTTGTAGCCACAAAAATATATGTGTTTTATAAAAATTATGTTTTAAAATCTCGATTGTATGAATAATCTTTTATGAAAATATATTGTATTGGTACATGTTTTAATAGACATGAAAAAGAAACAATCATTAAAAAGATTTTTATTTTATTTCATTTCAAATATATGATATTCAATATTAAATATATATTTAAAAGTCTTGTTTCTCTCTTTTAATGGTCTCATTGCATGACGAAATCCAGCAGCCAATTTCAAGTTTTTTCTTACTTTGAATATGCAGCTATATTAACAAAATTTTCCAGAAAAGAAATATGCATATAATATTAAATTATGATTTTCTGCACAAAACAATTAATTACATAACTATTTAATATAACCTTTTTAATAAAATAATAAAAGGAACTAAATATTTATCTTTACATCAATTAAGAGAAAATTTATTCCTATTCGTTCTTTTTTTTTTTTCAAGTTACTTACTTCTCACTTTTTAGTAACAATAAATAACTTTCTTACTACTGATTCGTTTTAAATAATTTTACGAATTCATTATTTTTGATGATATATTTTCATTATAACAACTTAACTAAAAATGAATTATAAAAACAGAGTAATCACAAACAAAATGTAATAAGGTGATGCATGGAACTTGATTTTTTTTAACCAAACACATATAAAGATCAGTTATGGTTATAATATATTAATATTTTAAATGACTGAACACTAAAAATTATATCAAATAGGTTTTTGATTTTCGTATGACCAAACACATAAAAACTAAACATGACAACATCCTAATTTTCATATGATTATTCATAAAAATGTGAATACAGTTAAACGCTACAAAAATACTAAAATAAAAATAATCAAAATTATATTAAGCTACCTTGAATTCATTTAAAGCACATAGCATGCTTTAACAAAAGGGATAGAACTAAAAATGAAAAAGAAAGACATCTACTGTTTTTAAAATAGACAATAAAGCATTGATATATTATAAATTTTAAAGATTACATGAATCTAAATGTTTTGAATTTTTCTAAAAAGTGTCGCTTGTTTCTTCTTACCTTTGTGTTTCATTCTTTTCTTTGTTATTTTCACAATATTATCCATAGAAATTGACTAAACAGAAAAAATAAAATTCAAGTAATTAAGTTACAGATATAATATATCTACCTAACATAAGATATAGTATATTTACTTTTATGTGTTTATGAATCCTTACAACTTTTATAAAAAGATTGAATTTATCCTTTTTAACATTTATCTCAAATAAATAAATTTCATCCATAATTAAATGTACGTTCTTTGGAAATATCTTATAATCCTTGTTCATGTGTGTTTATTTTAAACTGTCAATATTGATTAGTAGATAAAATTATAATAACACAAATAGCATGCACAGATTATTATATTTTTAATATTTAAATCTTAGTTCTTCCATAGTTGTTCCAGTTATATCTATATTATTATCATCAAATAATTTCTATCATCGACTATTACTTCAATTTTGTAACTGAAGAAAATTGATTAGTTTAAACTTTAATAATAGATCAGTATATATCGATATATATATTTATTTGTAACTATATATTAGTTTTAAACCTTATAGATAAATATCAATGTGTATCGATGATATAAAACAACTATAGTTTTGTTATCGGTGGTTAATTATATTAATACAAATTGTGAAAGAAATTACATAAGCGTTCTACAGTCAACAATTGTACGCATTTTATAAGGATTCACGTCTACATCCCCATAAGTTTTACATATGACTCACACCATACATATTTTTTGTACAATGCTAAAATTATCTTATAAACATTTTGTCCAGTAAAGTGATAATTTTCCTTCTCACAAACTCAAAATATGGACCTGATAATGTAAAAAAATTAATCTTTAGTCAAACCTAGACCAATGGGCTTCCATAAAAAATAGTTAATTATATGAAAATAATAAAAATATTTTTACAGTTCTCTTTTTGTTTGGAATTTTAAAGAAAATTCTTTATTTTAAACCAATGCCTACTGATTTTGTAATTATCTTAACCCATGTTTTTTTTTACTTTTCAAATATAATTTTTAATTTTATTTTAAATAAATACTACAACTAAAATAAATTTATAGACTTCTAATTATTTTAAACACATATTATATTTGGTAGTGCAAATAAGATTCTACAACTAAAATAAAATTATAATAAATTTTGGTTTTAGAATTCACTTTGTAAAATCTAAAATACTATTATATTTATAAAAAATTTTAAGATTTTATTTTTTATATAAAACTTAAAATACTGTTTTTCTTTGTAATTATTTTAAACCCATGCTTAGGAAAATAAATACTAATATTAATATCGATTTTTTGTTTGTTTACAATATGTTGTAAAAATTAGAACAATATAAAAATTACTATTAATAACTATTTCTAAGAAAAATTTTGAAATTCCTTTTTTTAACTTAAAAAGGAAAAATTACTATTAAATAATTATTCTAAGAAAAAAATAAATTCGTTTAGTTTGAGTATTTTTTATAAATAAAATTGTAAGAAAAAAATGAAATTCGTTTTTAGTTTGAATATTTAAAAAGGAAACTTATGATTTAAAGTTGTTTAGTTTAAGTGTATTTTTAAGAAGGAAAATTGTAAGAAAAAATTAAATTCGTTTAGATTAAGTATTTAAGAAAAAAAAAAGGAAAATTATGATTTAACATATGTCATAATCTTAGATATGTAATTGCCACATGTCACAATCATGTTAATTAGTAACTTTGAAAACCAAGCTTTATATAATAAGATACAGGCGGATACTAAACTGTTATCTAGGGTTTCTCTATATCTAGGTTTTCTTTTACTGTTGAACCCAATAATTCAACCTTGACAGACACCCAACGGACCAGGCCCATAAGCATGTAATATTTTATTATTATTTTTCCTTTTGTCAGATTTTTTTTTAAAAAAAAAAAATTAATTGAACCAATCCCCTTCCGACACGTGGTGAACTCCACCCTCTTGGGGTTCACCGGGATGAACTTTTAAAGAGAGAAATTCATCACTGTTCATCTAGAAAACTGTGTGAACCCTCAATGTACATGCTCTTAGAGCATCCCCATTAATGAACCCCCTTATGGGGTTCACAGGGATTTTTTATTATTTTTTTGGTGGGATAGGGATTTTTTATTATTTTTTTGGTGGGGTCGTGAACAGTGATGAACCCGGATTAATTATGCGCTTCCATTAGTGAACCCGAAATCCGGATTCTTAGGAATAAAATAATAATATTTTTTTTAAAGAAAAACTATTATTTAATACAAAGAGAATATTGGAATAAATAATAATTGAAAATGTTATTGAATACATTGAGAATACATTAATGTATAAAACATGTTATTGAATACATAGAAAAATTGGAAACATACAATCATTATTCATCTTGATTACCAAATTTTCGCCATACATTTTCAACCAAATCTGCTTTCAAACGACCA